TAGAGCATCTCCACCGCATCCCCAAATATGCCCCGGCTCGATATTGGAACATCAGATGGGACAAAATCTTCCACCGGATGTCCCGAAAACCAAATTTGGGGTTGGGACATCCACTTTGTCCCGAAAATTGCACACTATTGGGATTTCCCATTTTTTGTCCCAACAAATATATGTTGTCTGCGCCGGCTTGCACAACCAGCTACCGTGCTCACGACGGTAGACTTCGATGACAAATCCAAAAGTGTCTTCATTATCATTCAGGTTATGTGCCCATCAACCAGCGAATCACTTCGCTGTAATCCAGGCATCACAGTCAATACACTTACTGTGTACCGAGGGAGGTTCGGTAAGTCCTAGCCTGGGCCTAAATAGGATCCACCGAGGGACTAATTAGTTGCTCCCTCGGCGAGTCTAAAAATAGAACCCGACTGAACTCACTGTCAACTGCACACACACTTGCACGGGTAGTTGAACCGAGGCACGGCCGAGAACACTTCCCCCCCTACAACGGGTGGCCAAACGCACGCTCCATGTCGTCAAGCATTTCGCCCACACCGTAATCGTCCAGGCGGCTCATAGCCCAGCGCCGAAAGAGTACTGGAACGTCTTCGTAGATGGACAGAGCCGGCTCCCAAGATGACTCAAGATCATCGAGACCGAGCCACTTGACCTTCACTTGCCAGGCACCATCACTTATACGGAGGTCTTGAAGAGCTTCAACGTAGAAACCTTCATCACCGAATGCAATTTGCGCCTTCAGGTCTTCATCAATGTCTCGACCGCCTTCGCAGTAAAGCCGGAGGCGGCTGGTATGGTGCAAAGACGTGTCGCCTGGTGGCACCAGCTGTTGCACTTCCAAAAGATGGTCCGAGACCACCTTCACGACACGGCATGGTCCTTTCCAGCGCAAGGATAGCTTGCCCGGATGCTGAAGCGCCCGAGCCACGAGAACAAAATCGCCGAAAGCAAACCGGGCGAACTTAACCGAGCGCTTGCCATTGCGCTGAGTTCTGGCCTTCGCGCGCTTCACGCCGGCTGTTGCTACTACCGTTTTGTGCATAGTACTCAACGCCTCGTCAAGCCCGGCTATATGGCGTGTAGTCTCCGTCTTCACCCAGTCGATGGTAGTTTCGCGGGCTTCCTCGGGATGGACTAAGCAAGACAATGGAGGAGTCGCTTACCGGCCGTCGTAGGTGCAATTCCGCCCAGACGGTCGGACGGTTGTTGGTTCAAGGCCGATTGGACTAGCGGTAACACAATAGGCCACTCCGTGGGGAGCAGGCGCATCTCGCTGCACAATGCCTTGAGTGTCCGCACGATGACTCGGTTCACTACCTCGACCGTTCCATTCGCCCATGGGCAGTGCGGCGTGACAAAATGGTGATGGACCCCGAACATCCGACCCATCGTGTTAATGAGTTCGTTCTTGAAATGGGACCCACAGTCGGACACCCAGGTCTTCACAACGCCGAACAGACCGAACCACTCCATCAGCGCCGAGGCGGTTTCGACAGCCGTTGCCGATGCACTCGTGTGGAGGCGTACGAACCCGCTCATATCATCTT